CTCGTAATTTATATGTATATCTCTGTGATATAGAGATATACACCACTACAGATAAAACCAAATGCAGATCCTCTATAACTAAATACAAGCTTATTTACGGAAGCGTAAATATAATTGGGAACAAAAGTCGTTCGCGAACAGCTCCGAATTTACTACATTCCACAAAACGAAATACTTTAGTCACAGTGACGGACAGTTTTTAGTGAAAATTAAATATTTCCCAGGTGCGAGAACTTCCATTCCAATCCGTTTTCCAAACAAGTTCTGATGTTTCTTATTACAGTACTTTAACTTAGTGATTTAAGTTTTCCAATTTTCCTTTTACTTCGATTCGAGTACTTAAGCACATTTAAGTACTTAGGTATCTTAATTATTTATTTTAGCTCGACGTTAGCAGCTTAATTAGATAAGTTAGTTAATCAGTCAATCTTGTTTGTTTTGTGTATGTTTGTTATAAGAATGAAGTAAATTATATTGTCACTGTGTAATATTCGTACAAAATCAACTCTGTGTAACAATGCTTTAATTACCAGAAACACACAGCTAAGCTAAGCAGATTCTTAATATCTGTAGTTATACTGTGTACATTGTTTATTTATTTATTTGTTATTGTATTGCACGAGTTAATATCATGTGTAAAAGTTACATTGCTAAACTTCTGGTTGGTTGTAAGGTAACACTTCCTTCAAATCTTTCATGAATAGATTATTTTTATTATTTTTGCTCTCCTGGTTTTACACAGGGTATTCTCTGCTGAGCCGCTCGGGGCCGCTTTATGTGTCAGCCGTGTCGGCACTCACCATAACACTGACGTGAAACAAACTGTTACTCCCTCTTTCCTTTACAACAATTTAAAACATGGTTTCATGCTTTTTTCTCAAATAGACCCTGCAATACCTTCAGTTTCATTCATACACTTATAATTCTTAAATGCAATTTTATCCCACTTTCAGATATAAACCAAACTTGAGATCTCATATTCTGTTCTTGCATGAAGTAGTAAAATAATCCTATTAAAAGTTTTTCCACAATGTGTCCATCTTCAGTGTGCATAATTCAGTTAAATTCGTACCCGTACATCATTAAAGAAGCGTAAAGAAATACATCGCATGAACCAGACAATGGTCGCACCCACTCCCCAAATTGTGTAGCAATAAATTTCTTTGCGGAATGTTCACCATCCGTCATTGTAAAAACGGGGAAAAAAGGAAAATTGTTGAAATGTTTTCTAAAGAGTATAAAGGACTAACCTTAACGTCCTCCTAGATAACAATAGATACCTCTTACTTTCTATTCAAAATATCCTTTTGTCACTAAATCCGCAAAGAATAGCTTAGTCACAGACATCTTTTAGTAAGTACTGAAATCTTTAAATTATCCTTGAACACTTCGAATTATCTGTCAGTTGTTTTACTTTATCTTTTTCTGTCTTACTATGACATAATCAGTATTCATTCTTTCTAAACATACGTAGTTAGTTGCCTACAATTTTGAAGTCGGTTGAATGAAGATAGTGTGAAGATATTTTTATTGTAATAACTTCGTTGATTATGGCTGACCAACTTTATCAACCTAATCAAAAAATATGACCCAAATTTTTGTTAAAATATACATACATATTCGTGTACATACATCAATATACATAATCATGTCGTTTAAGACGCCCAACTCTCATGCATGAGGTTGCGGGATCGAAACCTACCAACGGCAAGTACCAATGTGAATTTTTCCGAGTTATATGTACTTGCTAAAATTATCTGGACCCCACTAACAAACGGTGAAGGAAAACATCGTGAGGAAACCTGGGCTTATAATTTGTAATTATAAGTTTGTAATCGCTAACCCGCATTGCGCAAGCGTGGTGATTAATGCTCTAACCTTCTCTGTGTGAGAAGAGGCTTTGCTCAGCAGTGGGCATACAGGCTGTTGATAATAAATATTTAGTTACATTTCAGAAAATTTATAAACATTAATTAATATTCAAAATTACTATGAACTAAATAAATACGCAAAATATTTGAGGGAAGTATTTTAATTATTGTGAACATCAAATATTCATGGCTAAAACTGCACGTACGCAAAAAGTTTTAACCCGTTCAGTGATACAAAATTCAGTATATTAAAGTGGTCGGTTTCAGTTCTAACAAACTCTACTGGATTTGCATGTTAACGATCTCGCATACCACAACAATAATTAAATACCTTTGCATACAAAGAATAATACTAAGCTGTATATATATTTTAAACTTAGCTCTCTTCGGTGACTCTCCAAGCGTATACAGGATGGTGAAACAAATGATTAAAAAAGAAGGCAACCTATGTCCATTACCAAGTTTTTATAATGAAATCCGGAGTTCGGGTTTGTCGTGAAAAAGTAACAAAAACAAAGTTACTTTGGCAGTTATAATGTTTCTGACAACTGAGGTAGGATTTAATCAGTGTTTTGACACAATCGTGAAATAGAAAACCTTTTCGTTATTTTTTTTTCTTAAATTTTTATGAACGGCCAGTATCAAATAGAATATAGAAAGACTGTACTGCACAGGCTTTTGACCACTCACAAGGAGTCTCATTTTCCTCACTCTCTTAGAGCACCAATGGATAGCAAGTAGACGGCGAGCAGAGAGAAATCAAGCATATCAAACTGGCGCTGGCGTTGACCAAAGGCGTGGCACGGTCTTCTAGATCACCCTTATAGTTGCAATTTTGCCTTTAACGAAGCCAGTTTTTTTTAATAACTGACCCTATTTGCCTGGTAAGGTAGGCACGCTACTTACATTATTAGTAGGAGCGCACGTTAATTAAAATCTTCACCTTCATATTTCATTGAAGCGTAAAAGTTTATTCATAAATTAATTAACGGGCTTCCAACTTTTATAACGGCTGTTGTCGCTGTTCGCGATTACTAAATAATAAAAGGTGACTTTTAAACTAACTCGTAAACTGAAATTTATCGGCAATTAAATTTTAAACGGTTAACTTTTGAACGCTTTGTTACAATCTTCAATAGGCAATGAAAGAGCTCTTATGTTTAACGTTCACACAATCGTCATTATAAATGAAATGTTTTCTTACTTTTTTATTTTCCACTTAATTTAGTTTGGATAATGTAATTAAAATTTTAAATTCATTTTTTTATTATTTATTTTACATTACATTCTGTGGTGCGTTTACACAGTTAGTGAACTTAATGATCAGTGACATTGACATTTACTTTTTCTATTATAAGCAGACTACAGATAAAAAAAGAAATCAGCCTGTAATTAACCTTCATACGTAACATAAAATAATTCTCAAACATTATCTACATAATAATATGTATGTATTTAAGTCTTATTCACTAACATCAATGATCAAATATACAAATAACACATTTAAAATATTCAAAGTCTAACCCAAAGGAATGCCTTCAGAATGCATTTAAGTGCAACCTACACTCGGCACTCCGAATACGTGAATCTTTGAAAATAGTTCAGCCACATATTAGGATTTCTTCCTGTTTCCCATGTGAGGTCGTTTCAAAAAAGAATCTACATATTACCAGATTTACAACCAAATACATAGCGTTAGCTAAGATCTTACCTAGTCAGGCAAAGTGTTTATTTATTTGAAAATTCCCTGTATCACTAAGAAATCTTGGTATAATAAGATAAGACTTATAAGAGAACCATAGCGGGCAGAAAATGGGCGTTACATTTTATATACCCATGTTCCTTAGTGGTGTCACGAGTGCCTGGTGATCTGTGACATATATTCTATGTCATAACCAACTACAACTACTTATGGGTTAATAACTTTCTGGAATTGCAGCAAAATGATGAGATAAGTGACGAGAAGACCGACGAACTTGAACGGCAGTGATATATCAATGTCCAGCATCCGAAGAAGGGAAAACGAGAGGTCCCGTGTCTCCGTCCACGCCAGCAGAGCTCGAGCCATACCGCGGCTTGACTTATCTATGAAAATACATGAGAATTAAATAATATTCTTGGCCATATTACGTAGTATTACATATATAGATTGGCAAGAATTCATCTAGAGTTCTATCTAAACTTGGAATAATTAGTGGGCATTAGAACTCGATACGATTGTACCAATTTACCAGTTTAACGCGTTAAACGCCATGTGGGGGTTAATGGTGACCGGCGTTAGCGTAGGATTTACCATTAACAGTTTTTTTATTGGCAGTCAAAGTCTTAATATTTTTTTTATTTTTCTAGTCTAGCATGAGTAGAGTTTGAGACTGCTAAGTTTTTACGAAAAACGACAGAAAATCATTAATGATAAAAAAACATAAAATGAGTTACCACAAATAGGCTACGCTAAAGATATCATCTCATCTCAATAAAAAAAATGAATTCAGTCACCAATCAATGGTGTATGGAAATACCGATATTATCCTTTGATATGACAGACCAGTAATTCTAGGAAGCAGTCAAAGAGATTGAACATAAACTAACTAAGTAACAAGTTTAAGTTCAGTTCAATTTATGTGAGGTCAGATGTATAAGTAACTAATTGCATTGGGAGTTCGCGGGTTATCACGATGCAAAGGTTGATATGAACCCGGGAAACTTAATCTTGTTGTGCCCTTCTATAGTATTTACATAAATAATCATGTGTATACAGATTAACAAAGTCGTTCTTCCGAGTAATTAAAAATGAAACTTTAAAATTGAAATTTTGTCCAAAGTATCGTAAATCATCGACTTAATGTATGGACTACTCTCTATGTATTATATCAAAGTACTAATGTATTATATCAAAGATGTGCTCTAAGGTGAATTGACATTATCATTAAACGTTGACATTTAAACGACAAGTTTAGTTTTAGCTGACAGTTTCATGAAATACGCACAATTTATGAAATGATCATGACTATGATTTCATCATCATAAAACGTTCAATTTTACGGTCTACCCACGACATATGCATTTTCGTTTTGGTAAATATTAACATACCAGTATACATATGTATGTACAGTCGTACACCCGCATAAAGACCAAAAAAAAGGATTGTAGGTAAAAAATATTTCAAGACAATAAAGACGGGTATTATTTCCAGAAACGTTTCGAGAACCAATTGAAATAAGCTGTATATTAAGATAACATAAGCTAGCTAACATGCGATCGATTTATATCTAGTTAAGGTATTATTCTACATAATTTAATAGGCAAATTTCTCGGAAGCGAAATTCCATACTAAAACCACTTTTACTGCTCCTATATCGAAGTAATTATTTATGTATTTGGACTATGTACATATAAGACCATATATATATTAAGGTTACAGAATATAAACGTACCTACTAAAGAATAATAAATTAATGCGTAACATACTTTCAGTATAATATATTAATGTCAAAGTAAGTATACAAGTTGACTGAAGAAACAAACACATCCTAACATAATGAACATAAAAACATCAATCAACATAAAAACCAACTATTACTAACAGAATAAAGACTAAAATGGACTTACCTAGTTGATTCTCATAAAGTCTCGAAGCCAATAGCTCCCTAAGTCTTCGTACTTCATCATGAACCTGGTCTCCAAGCATACATGGTGAGAACAATGGTAGCATGATGCCTGCTAGCAGCCCCACGTAGGTAATCATGAATGACAAAGGCATCTGTAAGAAGGGAATGTATTAAAATACTGAAAGAATAGATTTTATACTATTTGATTGGCATGTTGAGCTAAGGGCAATGATAAAAGGGGTTTCTTTAAACGATACATTACCTTATTCTCAACAATAGGCTAGATGCCTAATTTTTATTTTAATGTCTATCTGGTAGATTATTTTAAATCATTAGACACGTATTTTTTATTTTCTTAAAGTTACGAATATTTTCGACGATATACTGATTTGAAATCTCGTGTGACGTCACTTCTATGTACGTTTTATACGTGTAAATGGCGTTTTAGCCCCCATTCCTAAACTTTGATTCGTTTTATCTAAGTATTGTTTAATTATACGAAAAAAATATAAATACGTGTCTAAAATTTTTTCCGTACACAACTGACGGAATAATTATATTTTTAATTTTTATACCCAGTCATCATCCCAATTGATACAGTTTATGATTATGAAGTCCCGTGTAACTTAAAACTAGATGAGTTTTTCAATATCAATCGAACAATTCATGTATGCAATATTATGTATGAGTATAACATACTCATACAATCAAAAGAATACTTGAATAAACTGCTTCGTTGGCCAATGATTGATCGCAATTGCGACTGCCGGGCAAGGGGTTACTGATTCAATTCCCAGGTCCGGCAAAGTATTATTGGTTTTTTTAATTAAACTGTCAAACACCAAGCTGTCACCAGTGACCGCAACCTATTGTTCTATAATTGTATCTATAATGACGGTACTCGACGAGTAAAATTCTCAGTAGCGCGGGGTCTGAAATTGTGCCGGCATATGGCAATAAGCTCATCACCTATTACCTAGGACTCATAACATAAATAGTGAAAAGTGGGTGTTACATTGTACAGTGGCATTAAGTGCCGTAATGTGCACCTGTGCCTGCCCCTTCGGGTATAAAAGGCGTGATGCTATTTATCAAAAGAATACTTACATCTTCCTTGATAATTGTCAAAGATACTCTGTAGCAGCAAGACAGTATATTGAGGAATGCAGACACGATTGTGACCAGCAACTAGAAAAAATAAAATATTTATTACACTTTAGAACTAGCCAATCAATACCAACTTATCAGTATCTAGAAATATTTACCTGCCATTTTACAGCTTCTATCAGATAATTGTAAGCTTTTATCATATTGTGGTACAGATTCATCACCTTTTCCATCTTACAAAGAGTCTTGTTGCTATCAGCTTTTGAATACCCAAACTTCTCAATATTCAACGTTTTTGATATTTTACTGTTTGACAGCGATAGCTCCATGTAGTAGTTTATCAGACGCAGTCGAGGAATTAGAAGACTTAGTAGGTGGCCACAAAAATGTACTTCTAATATGTGGATGATAGGGAACGGCAACATCCATAGCTCAAGGTTCTCCAAAGTAACAACTACATACGGCAATGCAAACAATATCACATTGTACAGTATCATTAAAACAGTTGCTATCAAATTCCTTATAGAACCTTTGCCAATTTTTGGTCTGCAGCCAACTTCTTTATCGAATACGTTCAGCTCGTTGTAATAGCGGTGCATTCTCTTGATTGACACGACGTTGAAAAGCGTGAAGAAGACGCATTGGAAATAGAAGATGAAGATGACGATGTTCAAGACGTATGCATTCCTGAGCAGGTACACCACACCCACGTAGTAACATGATGCCAACAGGGAGTACACGGCCGCCAGAACTATGAAACCTACATGTACGTCGCCGATTAAAGGAAGTCTAATTATACCAAAAGCTAATTGACTTAAAATGAAAACCTTTGATATAGGATCGATGTAAGGTTTATCACTGGCACTAAAATAAGTGTTCACAAGTACTGAGGGAGGCGTCATGGCGATGAAAGTACGCTGACACAAATGAACTTTTAACACTTAACACGACAGCACTTCACAGTATAGCCTGACAGGTAATAATCTAATTCAAATGACAATATTATCTGTACTCCATATCGGTCGGAATAATCCCATTAAATTAATTCGACGTTCTGTTGTTCCACACAACTTGACACCCGGTGACGTAATTATAAATGAATAATGCATTAATAAGTAATAGGAAAATACCATCACATTCTTGGTTTAGCTTAAAAAAGCTTCATATACGTTGGAAGGCAAAAATAAATAAGAGCAGTCAACGTTTTGTTTCTTCTTGCCTACAAAGCATCGACCGTACTTGTCATCCCCTCAATAACCCCATGAAAAGGATGTCACTGCTCAGACTCACATAGTACTTGAAAACTGAGCAAGAAAAAATCACTATTTGCCATAATCTCCGTTAACTGTCAACCAAAAAAATACCGAAATACCAGTCCCAAAATGACCCACGAATGGAATCCATGACTAGGCACATACAACCAATGACCAAAGGGAAACCACATTCCACATCGTATAAAATCGATTTATTTAGTCTTTTGAGTTTTCGTGGGTTTGTGGACATGATAAAGACGTTATAAATTTCGCAACCCTCTTAATGCGGTACTCGTGACGCAATTCTACAATTGAAATGACGCCATTTTTCTTTACTCTTGCTTTTACAGACGTATGTACTAAAAAACGTTGGAGTCAATCTAACTGGACTTTAATGTCTTAGATCTGAAGACGAGATTGCTAACATTTTCTAGGTATCCAATTGAGACCGAGCATTGCTTGAAATGATAGTTCAGCCATGCTAGGTAGATTTTCTATCTTTCATTATATAAAATCGAATCACTTTCAAGAACGTTTAATTGGATTTGCTAAATGATATAAAAGTGTATTAAATAAATCAGAAATGATTACTTTTCCGTTTGAAAGCATGTTATATAACTTTTCCTTAAAATATAGGTTTAATAAATGAGATCTATTTTTCAGCTTGCAGAATTATTTATTACTTACTTTATCTTTCTCTTCCTGTTTTGCTATTTATTTTCGCAGTCGCATTATTTGTCATAGTTGTATCTCATAATGTTCACCAATAAATGTGATTATATTTTTGCTCTTGTAACAGAAATTATGACGATGTGTCCTCTGTCCGCTTTCATTATAATTAGAAGTAAAAGAGTGCTCTCTAGCTCTTTGTTCCCCACTTCAAATTAACTACAAAAATGTTATAAAAAGCCTTTGTTTGTCTATGGGGTGAGTCCGGCCGTTGTCACCGTAAACTTATTATGTCGCTTTCTCCAGTAATGGTAGGGCGAATTGTTATCAACTTGATATAAGTACCCTTCTGATTTACTGACGAGATTAATGAAAATTCTCAGCACAAAAACAAGGACGGTTCAGTTTTCTTTGACTTTTGGTTGGACAGAAACTTCAAAATGTTTTAGACGACAGGAAGCTTGAAAAACTCTTTTTCTCTTGATTTTCCCTTCCAATCTACTGACTAAATGTAAAAGATTGTTATTTTTAGTCATAAGTACGACATCTTTTTGTGAACTGTCGTTAACTGTGAAATAAAATATTATTAATCTTAAGACACAACTTCAACTTAGAGACACAATACTAAAGATCAAAAACATATTACATTCAAAATCTTATCGACTGCATTAGCCAATAATGTTCAAATTCGATAAATCTTAACACACAAACAAACAAATATAACACAACTACATTGATAGTGAAATTTTAGAACCATAAGCAATTTAGTGTACCGCTCGCTACTCGGGCACAGCGTAGTTTTAAATTAGATATGAGCTAGTCGGCCATCTTTACCCGCGCACTCCAAGACTGAATACATACAGATGAGTTCAATTTATAAGCTTTACATGCAAATGCAAAACTATGCGATCGAATATAGATCTGATAGTAAAAGGGCTCGACGCGACGCGACTGACGGTGTTATTGTACACTCTGCGGTTTTCACTGATCTAGTGGGATTTTGTTATCATTGCTGACGTCGCTATATTTAGATATATTTTCTTCTTTCACGACCATTTTTTACGTTCTGTTAGTATGTTTAGCAATAATAAGTATATTTTCTTCTATACATGAAAATAGACATTTAAATCATTTGTTAATATCAACATACCAACTATAAGTTTCGATACAATAACGATACGTCACGTCTCTTGCATCTCTATTTACCTACCAACATATATTATATAAAAAAACAACAATCAAATCGACATCTAAAACCGATTACTGGCAGCCAATCACTACAGAACAGATAACAGGAACCAGTAACAAAATGAAGCGAAATATGATGATTTACGACATAGCTAAATGCTGTTACAAATACGCCTTTTCCTGTCCTCGAACCGACTAATACGTGAAAACAAAGGTTTCTGTTCGCATCCCCAATCAATCATATGACGTCACAATACACGATGAGTGAATCCCGGTCATTCTGTAGCTTGTTTTACAAAAACTATTGACAATGATACTGAAGCGGGGTTGCTTTTCTACCAAATGGTGGTTCCGGGAAATGAAATGGAGTTTATTCATTTGAAAACTTTTTTGATCTGTATGTATTTATATCACACGTTTTTAATGACTTTAATAATTTTAAATTTTACTACATTACTGAGTTCTACTTATAATTTTTTTACGATCGAGGAGTCAAAGTCAAAGTATTTATTTCAATTTATCCTTATATAAGCACTTTTGAAATTTCAAAATTTGAATTGTCCATCCAACGTCTGTCGGTGAAGCTAGGTGCTAATTACAAAAAGAGAATTGCTATAATTACATGTTATCAGTTACAACAACCTTACTGTAGTGGTTGCAGTCACCAAATCATATATCAACGATACCTGGATTTATTAAAACACTAGCTGTTACCCGCGACTTCGTTCGCGTGAAATTATTCATATTTGTACTTTTAATTAATTTATACTTTTTTGACGCGACAACGTGTTGATTGGCAAGGCGTATTTGAGGGCTAACTAGTATGAAACGGAACGTTTATTGTCGATTCAAGATGGTGACTGCGGTTTGTCTGTCAATGTCATTAAAATGAATTAATAAAACGAAATAATCTCCGTAATCCGAATTTTGAATGTTTTGTTATTCAGGTGATGTTTCGATCGATTCTACCGTACCCCTTGACGAAATTATTAATATAGAAGAAAAGAAGCGTTTGCAACGCATTTGTAATTCCTATAGTGTTGCAGTGCAGTAACGCCCGCCTTAAGGCATCGCTATGCTCGTTTATCCACAATACTACAAAAGAATCATTTGAATATTAAATCTTATTATTTATTAACTGCATTACTCGCGTTTTGAGTCTCCATCATATCTTCCATGTGCTCGTAAGTCAAGCGATATAATAGAGGTCGTTAGTCCACCTGCTCTCGTTGATAACCGACGTCCATATACAGCCACTTTAATGCAAACCTATGTGCAGCAAAGGACTGCGCTTTAGAAAAACAAAACTCACATTTCACAACAGAATATAATATGGTGTAAGAAACGGTAAAATTTTACTAGCAAGATATCTGCTATTTAAAAAATAAATATTACAATATCAAATTCGATTTCAAAACAATTTACAGTATAGTATTACAATTTAAAATCTTGGATTGAGAATTTCAAAATTGATGCCAAAAAGGTCACACGACCTTTTGAAACAGTCAGGCCATAAAATCTTTTCGCTGCCAGACCTATAATACTGCGGGAGCAGACATTCGATGATTTTCCCCCCTTACAAAAAAAGACCTATAATACTAGCATTTTTTTAAGGGCGGAAATTCATCAAATGGCTGCTCCCGCCTGGGTGAGGCGAGAGGGAGTGTCAGACTCTTACTGACTAAAAACCACCCCATTCCTTCTCCTGCACTTCGAACCGGAGCCCCGGTAACCCGTTAGGTTCTCCGCGACGTAATACTAGTATACATGTTTTATTTGAACTAATGTATTTAATACAATAAACTGAAATATATAGAACGGATATGAACTGGGCCGTCGGTAGAGGGCGCCCTAGACGGACAAATACAGACCAGATTAGCGATATATTATATCGTCTCTGCCTACCCCCATGGGAGATAGGTGTGATGTTATGTATGTGTATACAATAAACCGCATGTATTCAATACAACAAATTCACAGACACAGCTAATGGAACGCACACAATATCTATCCCTATATATATATATACATGTAAATACATAGAACACAATCACTCTATCGACATAGATATACTCCATGATTGATGCACATTTAGA